ATACCTAATAGTTATGAACCTTATCGACACACTATTACTTAAGTATTCATAAAAGATTAGATACTGTTTACATTTTTCATACCATTTTAATAGTCTTTATAAGATTTTCTATATAAATTGGATGTTGTTTAGCCTGAGCTAGAGTATTTGTCTTTGTCACTCATTTTATTTCATAGTATATAAGACAGAGATGCAAATATAAACGAATATGCTGTACAAGTCTCGTCACGCAGGGTACGTATTGCTTATTGTTGCGAAATCTCAGGGCTTACCAATACAGTGACGTCACGATTTATTGTTTAAAAATATGACGCATAGAAATGACGTCATGTCATACTGTTTTTTTATGGGATAAGCCGGTTAACGAGCACACGGATCACCTGATGGTAAGCAATCGGCGCCGCCCATGGACACCAGATGCGTTATAAGTGCGTTACCGGCCTTTTGGGAATTGGGAATTTGAGGATTGTGGCGGATTCGGAGATTGAGGAGCCTGGGGAGGGAGTAATTGGACCTCCGGTACCCTCACTCACACGACGAAACACAACGCAAGCGTTGCTTCACGTCGGTTTTCTGTGGGGCCGTGATATCACTCCGGTCGAGCCGGCCCATTCGTGCCGAAGCATGGCTCTCCGACACACCTTAAACCTGTCATTAATTTTAGTAATAAATAATAATTATTATTATATCATTTTAATATTCTTTAGCAAAATTAGGTTTTAATAATATCTAGCTTTAGTTAGCTTAATTTGTAGTATAATTTTATTGTTTGTAAAAAATTATGCTAAATATTAATAGAATCGCAATCTGGAATTTGTGAATTACCTAGATCTCAAAATGTTTTTATTTTCGTTAGGGTTTTGCTAAAATTGTAGCTTCGTTTTAAGTTGAAATTTAATTATTATGTATAATTATGAGCCGTCTATGTGTGATTACATTTGGAACACGAAATGTGAAAAGCTTGCAGATATTTCAAATAATGACACATTTTGTAATTGTTGTGATATTTTAAATCAGAATATTGAGCTATAATTCCATTCTATGCTTAAAACTATTTCTCAATCCATCATTACTGATTTTAAACTTATACAAACGTATACAATAGGTTGATATTAAATAATATGTATTTGCTTAAAGTGTCTTAAAACAACACAGTCCGTTACTCAATTACTAAAGTAATATTGTTTAGTTTCTAAGTTTTTAAAAAGTTTGTCAACTAATTTCAAATATACATCTTGTTTGGCGCTATAACTGTGACATCATTGTTTTTCATAATATGAAATGATCGTGTAATTTCTTGGTATTTGATCAATGATCATAATTATTGAGATTCACCAACCTCAGGATAAAGATCGAATTGAGAACCTCTTACTTCTTTGAAGTCGATTAAAAATAACTATCCCGTACTGTTATCTATTTTATGACGTGATAATACCGCTTATCAGGACTTGTTTCTCACCCAGTTTTTTTATTTCATTATTTGGTGAAATCTAAATGACGAAATAAGAATTCTTGCAACTTGCGACGATGAAATGATTGTCATAGCTTCTGCTATCGTTTGTGTGGAAGAATTTGGATTTACCCAACTTACAAGGTGTTATGGAGTTCTGCTCTCTGTAACTGTCAATTTGAACTTTTGAACTATGTTCGATCGCATTCTCACCCGTCATTGGTCGAGATTATTCTCACAACCAATGGCACCCCGCGATCAAGTTCACTTTGATAGTAACTTTCAATTCGAAAAAATGCTTCAGCTGGAAAGTCGAGAAACACGTCATTCACTTTAAAAAAAAATCATAAACATAGCCTCATCTTGCGATCCTATGGGTCCTATATAAACTACAATCACAAACTGTGTTTGCATCCGACGGCTCAGTGGTGTTTAGATGTTACTAATTTCACACCTTTACCCATATACACTTAGTATATTTACAGTTTAAAGGTTTCTAGTATTAATAAAAAAACACCGAATATTATTGAAATAAGGAATAACAGGAAAAACTGATATACATAATTATATGGCGCTTTTGACTGATATTTATTGGATTTATTACAATATCTAGAGAGCTAGTTATTTTGTTAAAAACAACGTAACAAGTTACGGCATGTTAACAATTTGTAAATTAAATTCTCATTATAAGGTTTTTAAACACATTGACATGTTTTTAACGGTTAGATATTCGAAAGATGTAATATAAACCTATGAAATGGCCATATGTGTCGTAGACAAACGGCAAATAAAGATCTAATATTTAAATAAAGAATGTAGAAAAGACAGCTAGTGTTGGTTTTTAATATTAATGTTGTAATGTCATGTGATGTGTGCTAGGAAAGTAATTTATGAAACCTGCTACAAGTAATTTACTTGCAATTAAAATATTAATAAATGTAAAAAAATATGCAAACCGCTGAGGATTTTAATAAGAATGCAGTTTAATTTACTACTTAGTCTTCACTATTGTTATAAAGTTTTCATTCTGATTTTAAAATCTGTAACTAGACGGAAAATTAGGGCCAACTGCGTTTAGATGCTAGAAATTTCTTGGGTTTCAGATCTTTTTATTTTTTTCTTTCAAATCTGTTAAATTAAAAATACTTATAGTGATTTAAGTTCATGATGAGAACCTTATAATAGTATGTGCTTGTAAAATGTAAGTAATTGAATTTCAAGTTATAAAAGATTGTTAGAAATAAGTAGGGAGTAGGCATAAGCACAGTTGGTTAAAAAAGTGGTTTGCTTCTATATCTCTTCTTATTCTTATTGTCAATACAATTATGTACCACATTATCATGTTAATACTTGAAAGTTGAAATTTAAACTTTCTGCTTATATAAACTTGAAAGTAATCTGGATTTACCCGATCACTAGGCCGTACTTTCAATGTCGAAGTTTTTTGAAACAAACCCGAAATTTTCGAGTTAGTGTATCGACTCGTTATTTATTATTTTAGTAAACTTAAATCTGTAATTTAGTACTTATTAGGTTTACAATTTAATAGAGAATGATGTCAACATTTTTACAATTTTTATTTCTCCTTTGCGTCACATTTTTAATCTACTGTGCTCGAATAGGCGTGAATAAGTAGAACCGAGTTGTTTAGCCTTTGAATGTTCTTCTTTACATGTATCTTATTCTTTATTTCTTAAGAGATGTACTATTATATTTTATATAGAATCAATTGTACACACAATAGTCTTATGATCTGCCTTAGACCACAATTTGATAATTGGTTGTAAACACAAAAATAATGTTGTTGATAAGCACCGAAATATAATTATATCTTACAGTGTATGTAACTGACAAGCAATAAAGAAAATGTTTATTATATTTTTATATTTTTATTTATTTATTTATGTTTTAATTCTGAAAAATCGTCTGTTTATGTTGGTAGTAAAGTGCTCTTTGTAGTCTTCTTCCTAATTAGGTAAGACAATAGAAACAGTATGTTAAATTCACAATACATCGTTTATATATATATGGGACCTTGAATAAACAATAGATTAGATCTAACTGTAATCTGTTATATTGAGATAATTAATTGCATTATGAAGATAGGATATTCCAAAGCCAAGTCAACGCGAACAATCAAACCGCAAAACCGGACCGGAATGCGATGCAATCGTAAATGTTTTACAACTGATTACATCACAAGTCCGCCACCGCAATGATAATACAAACACACAGACAAGTTCAAACCTGCATAGAGTGACGTTTTCCTACCGCGAATTTGAGTCACAGCGTGTCAGCTCGCCTTTATAATGTGTGAGCGCGGTGCGTCACTGTGTTAGCGCTGTGTGCACAGTGCATTATCGTGTCTAGTTTAGAAAAGGTACACAAGTATGGCAAAAGTGCATTCAACAAAGCAAACTTTAGTGCTGTTCTACATGTTTAGAGACTTATTACTTCCTCACATTAAAATTAATGTCTTATAAATACAGTGCCAATCTATCTTTGAAATAGGCACAGACAGAGATAGCCGCTTGGCGCCGTCAATTACATCGATAGACATTCCTTTGTTTTCAATTTGCTCCACTTGGTGCAATTGGCGGGAATATATCGCAAGTATAACTCAGGTCATTTCATATAGGTACTATCTTGGCCCTAGTCTAAGAACCTAACGGGTAACCGGGGCTCCAGCTCGACGTGCAGGAGAAGGAACGGGGTGGTTTTTAGTCAGTAAGAGTCTGACACTCCCTCCCGCCTCACCCAGGCGGGAGAGGTCATTCGCTGATTTTCCCTCCTTAAAAAAAAAGTCTAAGTATTTTATTATACCTTTATAGGTGCGTTCATGTGTTTGATATACATAGACCTAGGACATAGTTAGGTTTGCACCATGACATTATTTTATACTATAAGATAATCGAGTGCCTTGACCTGATCAGTCTTGTCTTGACTAGTAAGGGCATAGTAGCTAGGTACCTACTATTGTTTTCCATATAAAATGACGATGATGAGAAACATAGGTATCTAACATAAAAGATTCATTTATAATTCTAAAGTTGAGTGCTAAAAAAGCGTCTCTGACAAGATTCTAGGGTTGAAAAACCTGTGATAAATAAAAATATAGGTATTAAAAACCTGTTTACCTACCCATATATTATTATTTACATGTAAACTATAAATAAATGATAAAGTTTGATTAATTGTGTTTGTGATTGGCATGAGATGGACTTGGGCCCATGTGAACAGCACTATGCGAGCGACATGTCGCTACACGACCAGCCGCACCGTTGGCCGATGCGAAGCGAAGTTATAGCGACTGGTTCGCTATCAAATTATTACGCACCAAGCCGAGTGCAGTGACATAGCTACTAAGACTAAATAAAAACATTCTAGTCGTATTTAAAGTGATAAATCAAAGTTAATATATTTAATTAAACATTATTTATTAACTTATTATGGGTTTCTTTTGCAAATTTCAAGAGCACAAAGTAAAGAAATATTCTAAAAGTAAACTCATTGAAAAAGCCAAGAAGTTAACAAAATATGTTTGCGTAAACACAAAATTCGGGAGTGTCATTATTAATTCTATTTATTTTCGCCTTTTGATGGATGCTAGTATCCGACTGCGATTAAAACGGTGAGTTAAAAATTTATTTTTATTGTTTTATGCCTTTGTTTTGTCATTTTGTCCTAGCGAATCCGAAATAAAATCTCTCTCAGTGAAAATCAATTTCAAATATTTTGTTCACAAAGCTTATTCAATAAAAAAATAGAACAGATTGAAATGTTGTTATCAACCTTTAAATTTCCGTTTTTACCTTTCATCCTTTAGCTAAACAAACATATGTATTATTTTTGTACTCTATACAAAAAAAAAACAAGACATATTTTAATTTTACGCGCGAACAAGAAGTTTATGTTTTTTACTGATATTCTCGACTTTCTACTAATATTTATGGAATTAAATACTGCTCTTCTTTACTACTACGGCAAAATTTATTTGTGATGATATTTTAATTTTTTTTATATTAGTTATTTGTTGTCTATAGGTTATATAACTTACTTATATTTATATATTTTTAGTACTCCTTAGATGATTAAGAAAACTATTCTGAAAATAGTCCACACTCTGACACAATAGTAATTTAGCTGTTCAAATTGCAAGTGTTGATTGGTGTCTTATAACTTTTATCAAGAAATACGGACTTGAGTCCTCTTGTTCCGATATAAAAATAAAATCTATACAGATAAATATAATTGAAGTGTTTGTTTGTAATATATATATGAATATACAGACGATACACATCCCAAAATATTTTATTTTATAATTTTTGTATCTGTCTGTTTGTGCTGTACTGACATATCTTTGGAATGGCTGGACCGATTATGCAAGAACAAGGGCCCTGTAAACGATCAAATTGTTTGTCAAACTTTACGTGTTTGTCAAACAATTTGATAGTGTACAGCTTTGTTTGAAGCGTTTGTCAAACATTCTACGTGTTTGAAGTGTTTGAAGAGAATTTTGAATGACGTAGCGTTTGACAAACGTGTTTGGACGTGTTCAGCTGTATTTGTCAATCTCATTTGCTTGCTTTTCGGACAGCATGGAGGACGTACTTCGAGTTCGAATGGCAGCATCGCGAATCTCGGCAGCATGGACAAAATGTCAGATAAAGAATTTAGACTACATTTTATATCAATTTACCGAGATATGCCGTTTGTGGAAAATAAAATCTAAGGATTACATGGATAAAAAATTACAATTATATTGGAGATTGCTGCCTCGTTCGCCGAGTGGTCGCAAGTGCGACTGCCGACCAAGGGGATTCCCGGGTCAGGCAACGTATTACTGTTTCTTTTTAATTCTCAGTAGTAGCATGGAGTCTGGAATTAAATTGTGCCCTGTGTATGGCCTTGGGCTCACCCCCTATTACATGGGACTTATAGCATCAATAGTGGGTATTACATTGTACAGTGGCATTGTGCCGTAATGTGAACATCTGCCTACCCCTTCGGGGATAAAAGGTATGACGTTATATTATGTGGTTATTTATTGATTTATTTCTGATTCTGAAAGCAAATTTTCGTGGGTATATTTATCTCCTAATTTTAGCCATTCTCTAGTCCATCTTCTTATTTTCCGTTTTTTAATACATAGTGAATAGAGTCAACACCAAAAATGCGTCGTTTATGCGCTCATTTTAAGGACGCATCACAACGAAGTCAAGTCACGACGAGGAAAAAGCTGATCCTGGCTAATTGTTTGACAAACTTGTTTGATGCACGTTTGTTCGTTTGCGCTGTTGTTTGGCGAAAACGTGAATTTCATTTAACAAGTTTGTCAAACGAATTTGATCGTTTACAGTTTTTTCCTCGTGGTGACTTGATGTCGGTGTACTGCGTGCTTAAAATGAGCATGTTGACTCTATCACTAATAATATGTATTAACCATCTTCAATAAAATTTTAAGTTTTGTGTTATGTTATATTATGTTATGCATTTTTTTTATTGCAGCGCTTCTCTTGTTTTTATTATCCATGTAATCCTTCGATTTTATTTTCCACAAAAAAGGCATATCTCGGTAAATTGATATAAAATGTAGCATGAATTCCTTATTATCATTCGAACTTGAAATACCCGCTTGTCCTCCATGGTGTCAGATCAACAAATTAGATCTTGTTTGACAAACCCAACGGAACACGTTCAAACACGTTTGCCAAACACTAAGTCAATCTAATTTCTCTTCAAATAGTTCAAACCCGTAGAATGTTTGACAAACGCTTCAAACAAAGTTGTACACTATCAAATTGTTTGACAAACACGTAAAATTTGACAAACAATTTGATCGTTAAAGGGCGCTTAACATAGTTAGGCTACTTTGTTTTGGAAAAATGAAACAATAAAATGTTATAAAAGTCATTGTACGCCGACACGAAATCGCGGGCGAAACAGCTAGTATAACTATAAAATAAAAAAACATTTCATTATTGCATTAATGGGCCGCTTTGTGTATGGCAACAACGCTTGATTGTTAGCACAGCGAGAATATCAGTTGAGTTTAAGAAATGTTCTTAGGTTGGCTACAGTGACGCGACAAACTTCGAAACAAAGTAGTCGTTCCAGACCTTATTCACGATAACCTTTCATTAAATAATCAAAGTTTGTAGATTTGTATGCATTATTATAAACTGTCTTATTAAAAATGTATATTGTTTACTAATTTTTTACTGTGTTTCATACTTATAAATAATTTGATTTGTTTTCTGTGCAGATGTTGGTAACATTGTAATGTTTTCTTCGGTGCGTGCACACTGTAGTGAAGTTCGCGCTGTTGTACTTGTAATCTAAAAACACATTTAGTTTTAGTTTGTGTTTATAAGATTTGATGTTCATCAAAGTGCAGTGCGTATTATTGGATGTTAGTGAAATAATGAAGATAAGTGTGTTTATCGCTATTTAGCGATGTGTGTATTTCGTAAATTGAATTGATGGTGATATAATAAAATTCATGGTGTTTCCGATTTTGTTAGTGCAGTTTGTAAAGTATAGTTCGAATCATAGGGTCCACAAACGAGGAGACGGATTCTATCATGGTCGTAAAACGGTAAGTTTTTATCTACAACGTATTAAATTTTTTCATATAATGTAAATGAGGGTATCAATCAGTACGGTCATCGCAAGTAAAATGCTTTGTTTCATGGGTGGATGTTATGTGCCACAAAGTAGACCAAATGTGTGATATAGGTAAAGCTAGGCGCATAGATATATATTTTTGTTTGTTTATGTTTGGTAGCAATTCGCAGTTTATGAAAGATTTCGTTATTTTTAGTGTGCAAATATTTCGTAACGTAACTGGCCATGCGTTTTACTGCACGTATTCGTATGCAAACATGCTTACGATGCGTTTTTGTCAGAATTATCGATTTTGTAAACCGTGAATTCGTTCTCTAAATACCGTCGTATTTTATTCTATAATTGAATTTTTGACATACAATTCCATTTTAAAAGCTTATCAGACTTATAAGAATACAGAAGTTTATCAAAACACGTTTTTAGGCCATACAAAAATAGTATAACCTGCTTTGTTGTTTTTTTGTTTCATACATTCTTCTTATTGTGATATTTACTTAAACATATAAAAAAAACACTAAGATCAAACGGGAAATAGACATGAATAACTGTAACACTAGTTGCAAACAACTATAATTAGTTATTCAGGTTTGTATGTCAATTAACATGCAGATCAGACAATGAGTTCCACCTTCAAGAACAAATAAATGTATTTTTTTCTTTTGTTAACTATTTTTCTGTCATTGATCATGACATAGAATACAAATTATATTATAATAAAAAAAAATTGATACCATAACAATGTAGGTAGAATGATGTTTTCATACTGACTGAATAATGCTGGGAAACCCCAAAAAATATATCGACAATTTTTGACAAAGTTAGTGTGTGGTGAGTAATGGTACAGTTAAGATTAATAAAATAATAATGATTATTATTATGGTTTAAAAATCATTGTTTATAATTTAAATATTAAATATGTTTTCTTGCTTTAAAAAAAGATTATTGCAATATTTACCTAATCCAATTTCAGATGTAAAGGATATCCTTATTATAATTGCTTTTAACAGGAAACTTAATTACAATGGTATTTTATTTATAGTAAAATTAATTAGATCAAGAATGAGATCAAGGAAATGATATCAAATACATTTACAATAATGACTAATTGTGTGGTTTTGAATTAGCACAAACCATTCACACTCACAATTAATTTGTCATTCATAGTGATATGTAATGATATTTGTAGGAAAATTTGTTCATTAACAAAAATCTTATCATAAAAACACCAAGGGCCGATTTATCAATCATCAGTTAATTCTTAACTATAGAATAAAATTGACATTTGACAGTTTTAAGTATGGAAGAATTGCCAAATACATACTGAAAGTTATTTCTCAGTTAAAATTAATCTAAGCATTGGAAAATTGGCCCTATGGAATTAATTAATCGAGTGGTTAGATATTTGTAACATAATATAGTTTCTTAATACATTGATATTTCATACCCAAAATTTTGCTCATACAAAGCTAGTCTCTAAACATCGGAAATAAGGTCTATAATGGAGTTAGGAGAGGTCGCTTGGGGATTGAGTAGTTAACGCACTGCAATGTATATTGAAAATATTTTAGATTCCTAACTGACACATATTTTGATTCATTTCATACCGATAATTTTTTTGTCACAATATCTGTCTTTTATAGCTGATTTTTCAATCATTAGTTAAACTGTCAAACACTTCTTTAATTGTGTCTTTATAGACACATTATTGACGGTACTCAAAGGGTCAATTCGTAACTGTAGAATAAAATTGATATTTGACAGTTTTTAGTATGGAAGAATTGTCAAATATAAAGTTATTATTCAGTTAAAATTTATCTGGAGTTGAAAAATAGGTCCTAAGCCTAATTAATACTTTAACTGCCAACTTTAAAACGATGAAAGTCAAACCTCCACTAGCGTCAGGCACCGGTGACTGACATGGCAGTCTAAGGGTTAAAATCAATTCGATTAATTATGAAACATTGCCTAAATAACTATCTTAAGTCCATGTCACAAAGGCTCAAATAAAATTGGTCTTTTTTATAAACATAGTATTTCATCATGACATGGTCGAGGTTAAGTCAACTGCTAATCAGTGTCAATCATTTCTTATAAATAAATCAATTGAAGCTATGTTTGATTAGAAGTTATTTAAAAATGTAAACTTAAGATTACTTAAAATATATCAAACTATTATTTAAAATTCATTGTTAAGTAGGTAGTTCAAAAAGAAATTTATATAGTGCTACATTCATACCATTATTATATTTGAATTGTAACAGAACAAGTGAAGAGTGTATTGAACTTATAATGTAACATTAGGTATCTAAATTGGAGCTAAAATATCTCTGATTGCCCCTTTGCGAATTTAAAGGTATGATGTTGTGTTCTTTAAAATAGAAGTGTGTTTCTAAAGGTAATTCTCTCATTCCAAAGCATTGTCTGTTAAGGAACTTTCGTTGAACGAGAGGATAGGACATTTTTCTTTAATAGCAATTAACCTCTTTTGACCTCTGGCCTATGAACCACTTCAATGCGAAAATCACGCCGTTCTGTTCCTTATTGCTTCGTTAAGGGTCTAATCGATCATTCTGTATTTGTATTATTACATAACTGTTTACTCCCTGTAAAAAATAAGCAGTTAACATAGTCATAGTTTTTAGATAGAGAAAAATCAACTTTAACACGACGAAATAAAAACGGTTTTTCCAAGTTACGCGGCACCGTGAGTATCGGAAAGTCCATTATTACGATTTATCGACCGCATAATAATCCCCAGTTGCGAAATTTATCAAACGCACAACTTTCGCTATATTTTTTTCCTTTTGTCAGACTAAAATAGCAGAGATCCTATTTTGTACAACAAAACCTTCACATTCTAATAACGTCCTTTGTTTACCGGTATATTGTTTCCTTTACTTTCAAGTAGTACCTGCTTAACAATATTTAAAAAATAACCTCATTAAATATGTAATCGAGATTGTGCTGCTTCCTCAATAACAATAGTTATTTAGGAACTTATTTAATAACGTGTCGATCCTTGCGTCTGCCGTGGCCTTGCTTGCCTCTATTACGCCGCTGGTATTCAAGTACAGCCATTAATGTTATTCTTACGTTGTTATCTCAGCCTGTCGACGACCTCTGTCTGTACGTCAACTTGGTCCATAACTAAACAAAGGAATCCTCAGAATCTTATCAAGTCTTTAAAAACACATGTAAATTCAATCATTGTTTACGTTTATTGACTGCCCAAAAACATCACCGTTCGGTACTTGAAACGTGACGTTTAAAAACAATTGAGTTTTATTTATAACAGAACCTATATGAGGAACAAAGCAATGGCGTTTGTGTGGAGCCCTCTTTTAACCCCCGCTCATTAAAGTTTCATCTTGGCTGGGGCTACATCCACGAGGAAACTTCGCTTAGTTGATTGTGCGAAATGTGTCGCAAAACGAGTCCGTTAAATGTTTAGCACCTACATTTCCCAAACGTAATAAAGCAAGACTTCACAAGAAACCATTAGTAAATGAACTACCTACACGACGACTACGACATGTGTCTACTAGTTTATTAAATCCCCAGAGTATACTAGAAACTGTCTACTTAGAAAACAGATACTCATCGAAGGGGCATAAAAGGACTAGCTGAGTCATTTCCGGCCTCATGGTGCATTACTTAACTTTTTGCAACGACTGCTGGTATTGCCTCTGACTAATCTAAAATTACCCAGAAATTATTAAGTAACGTTACATTGCTTTATATGATAAATTAAGGGCATTTCCGAGAAGGTTGATACCTGTTTCACAATCGCAGACCCCACAAGACACGACATCGTCGACTGTTTGTTGATCCCTTCACATATGAATTTACACGTCCTTACAAATTCACAATGAGTGGGTTGTGAATTACCCATCCATGGCAAAAAGATACATTTATTCTATGCGAAATGCATAAGACCAGGATTCCTTTTATGTTATTTTGTTAGAGCGCCATAAAATCAAGACGCGAAGGATGGGACGAGAGCTACTTTGCAAGCTGAGCCGAGTTAAAGCCATGTCTAGACGTCATTATATTTATCAAACTAATGCACGTACAGCACGCGTGCCTCTACTCTTCTCAATATAACTAGACACCTAGGTTAGGCTATTCTACATGCATACATATTCAAACAAGCAGTTCTTGTTGGTATATTTTATCGGCGTATCTCGGAAGTGGGTCTAATGATTTTGATGGCAGTTGAATGTCTTGTAGTCACTCACATTAAATATTAATAATGTCACCGAAATGTCTTTGCAAATAAACACTTTCAAAATAGATTAGTAAAAATTGTACATTAAAGCTAAAAGCTTACTCATAAACATTGAACGCGTAAAACCCCTCGGTTAGCCTGTCAAGCCGAGATAACGGTTCATAGCAATGATTCAATAAGAAAAGGAAAACTGTAAATCAAACAAAAATAGGGTCATGTTTTTAGACAAATTTGTACGCGTAACTTTCTAGATTTGTATTGCAATTTATTGAATAACTAGGTACTTTATCAATGAACAATTGTATGAGAAAAGAGGTGTTCATTAACACAATAGTTGATGCAACCTTTTTATTATTGTTTAAAAATAAAAAAAATATTTTCTAATGCTATTCATAAACAACGCCTTAACGCCACCGCTGTTCGACACCTGCGTTTAATATTGCATCGGCTGACACCTGCTCGACAGATGTGTGCGTCTTGCCTTAGAAAAGAGGCTCTTCACCGCTCTACCCATTTCCTACAACAGCAATGTGCTATTTCTGAATATAAAACAAAAGTCAGTTCAATGATGCCATTTGCAAAGGTCGGCACTGAATTTATTAAACGGCCGGATTAATTTTAATGCACCCCTCTTTCGGATCTTAAATGGGCACGTGCCATGCGCTTTTGGTGATCCCGTCGGATATTAGAGTCACTTTTTTCCCGATGATTTAATGGTCAGTTAGTCGATTGAATTTGGTTGCTTATTCGGAAGGTCACCCCTACGAACGCTGCGTGTGCGCGTGGCCGCATACGAGTGCCGACATGTTACAGTTCGCTGACCGCATGGCATCACTTGGCCTCGTTCATTGCATAGTATTGCCAATTTTTTTCTATTCTTGACGGTAATTTAAGATGTGTCAAATTAAGTGATTATTAAAATACGGTGGATATTTTATTACCTAGTCTCACGGTAGATTTTTATTCGGTGGGAATGTAATTCTACCTACTCGTGTTTTATTTTGAGCCTGTCATCTAAATAAAATGTAAAGAAATATGACAATAGTGACAGTTGTAGTTTTATTGAACGCTATGTGCTATTGACTGTGATGTGTCTAATTAGGCTCGAGTCTTGAGTTTGCAATTTTTTAAACCTAGCTTGTTGTCTATAGAAGCCTCAAAATACAATGTTACTACTTTCTAATCAGTTCATAATAATTTGTAAGTACGTAGTAACATAGTTATTGTTAAGAAGGTTAACTACTAGGTCAGAATTTCAACGTTAATCACGCGTTTATTGACATCCATATATCTTGAGCCAACACCTACACGCTATTGCTGTATTTACGAGCATATTACTGATTTACGGCCCATTGGCTTTGGAAAATTGCAACCACTAGATGTATTATAATCATAAATGTATACCTTACCTAAGTTCTGTGAACTTAACTTTGGTTTTCGTGGGAATCAGAGTTTTCATTGGAATCTCCACCGTCATCATGTAATTGTAAGTCTTTAAACGTCAACTACTGACTGCTGCCCTTCTTATGAACCGCTACAAACGGTTCACTATGCATTGAACACAGATCATAAACGTGGGTAGTTAGTGTTACATTTTATCAAATTTAATTTCAAAATAGAATACCTAATTTCCACCTAGTTATACGAAGATTTTTTCTTTCATATGCTGTTTTTGAGCTGCTTGTGACCAGGATATACAGATCCGTTTAGAACAAGATACATCTTATTTTAACCACAAATCAATTAAAAATTGCGTAGATCCCCGAGAACTAAAAGCAACGCAAAGACTTAAATTTGACGTAGAGGTAGAACCGTAGGATTGCGTCTAATTATATATGCTATTTATTTTCCTTAGATTGTAAAAAAAGGTCCAATTTACTATCGGAGGAAGTAGTATAGTCGATCTTGACTTCGGAATCAAATCAATGTCATTTATTCACTAACTGATTGGTTTCATTACCTGTATCCTGTTACCATTACATAAGAGCTATAGTATCCAACGTTTCGATTGATATCAGATCATACCATACAAGATGTATTCCATTTCAATTCAATGTAATGTTGATCGTTTTTGTATCATTGTCATTCATCTTTTGTCTGCCTTCGGTTGACGCCATATTTCAAAAGCCCTAAACACGATAAATAAGGTTTTAAGATTTCCATAGAGCTAACTATTGAAGAACACCCAAGTTTTAAACTATTACCGGTTTATTCGCTAACTAGGTATTGTTTTTTGTAGTAGCTTCAATCTAAATTATCTGAGAATTGACATATTTTATGTTCCTAATATTATTTCGCACACAATATATTTTAACCTCGTTCAAATGCAATATAACCAATTTTATAGGCTTTTCGGGGCCTTACGATAACCAATAAACTCCGTAGCTCCGAGCCGGTGTACCTATAGGCACTTGCGATCAGTTCTAAGGTGTGTCATCAAATCTAAAGCAGACATAAATCGCTTCGGGTCCGGATAGAGCGTCGATTCAAAGTAATTTCCGCCTCTTATAAAAAAATGACCGTTGGATCATCGACCGTTGCCCATTGGCAGTTGATTATACTTTGTGGCTGACTACACTACCTTTGACTGGTTTTTATTTGTACATTCCTCACATTTTGCATTTCGTTGTTGGTATCTACAAAATAATTTATCGATATTGTTTTTATACACAGTCAATTAGTCTTAAACTGTACACCTTTGCTACAAACAAATAGAATATAAGTTATGTTTAATTCCATACTAGTTATGCTTCTCAAGGATATCCCGAAAATTGATGAAGAGAATATTTAATCGATAATTGTATTCCTTTAAATCAATTACTCTAATTCGATTGTTAGATATAGCATTAGATACATAATATCGGCGGTGATTGGGAAAGCTCAGTCGGTGGTCGAGGTAAAAGTGTTTGTATCTGAATACAAGGCAGCTTAAACCTTGAAATCGTGACTACGGACGGAGAAAGTACAAGCACAACAAGGGATACAATAGCACAATGTTATTTTCGTTCAATTTCGAGAGTAGGGAACTTCATTGAAACTGCGAGTACGTAGAAAACTGGTTTGGATCCATGATCAAGTTGCGTTCACATTGAGTAGGTGTAGATACTGTATCGTCTTGCCTACTATATCCATGCGTTTGTCTTTTATGAAATGAGTCAACTGAATTCTCGTCGTGTAGGAGTGATTCTTCGTAAACTTCCGGCGTTCCCACATTCGACGCATTTGGTGTGTTGCGGCAAAACCGGATGCAACGTAGCCTTTTATCGCCACGTGCTTAGTGTGCCGAACAGTCGGTGCTGTAGTCGATAGGAACTATGACGTGAATCACCTCCATAGTAATTCTTAGAAATATTACTACGATAACGTTAAGTCAGCCCATTGTTTCCTTCTGTTCGCCTCTTCACTTTTTCCACAAAACCAAGATATCATATGTAAATCGGATCAAAAATCGTAACACCAGACAAAGGTGAGACAAGCGGAAGAATCGTGCGGAAAATATTATAGTCAGACATGCAAATGAAGTTAATTGTTAGTGTCACGGAATGAACCGCCGCGTTTTTATGCAATACTTTAACAAGGAACCATTGCTAACGAATGGCTATAATCTAGATTATCTGATTCAATTTAAAAGCGGTGATTGTTATTAGAGCAATAGAAATCTCGCCGCCTTTGTTTCAAATGATTTAATATTCCATATCGACAATGGACCGCCCAGAGAGTGTTATTATTTAAATGTTGGGCTTCAGTAATTGTGGGTCGGCATTAGATGAGTGTCCTATAGTCGAGGCAGGAGAGAAGGGGGTGGCGGGAGATGAGGGCTTTGACCCCGTGCCCGTAATCAGGGACGTTGTGGCCGGCGCTGTCCTTGCTATCCTCTGCGTCGTTCATTTTGTAACTTTTTATGAACGGCGCCATTTCATATCATTTCTTTGTGTCGTTGCAATTATAGCATTGACATACAAACAGTAATCGGTCAGAATCATAACAAAAGTGATAGTAGAACTGCGCCAACAACAGGTAACATACTTGGTCGCTGAAAGTATATGTTCGGAGATAGAGTGGCCTAGTTCGCAGGCAGGCGATAAGTTATCGTCGATGCGATCGATAAAGCACTCAAAGCACACAAAATTGCCTTTAGGTTCAGGACAAAGTGTATCCTATGCCTGCAAAATGTTAGACATCTTTTAATTACTTCATAGACGTAAATAGAGGGTTACGAACGTTTTATTGTTTAATATCTTCAGTAATTGTTAGGTTTATGTGGCTTGCGTAAGTGTCGGTGCATCGTACGCAACCGGTTCCTACGGGCGTGGTTGTAATTTACCACTAATCTTGACCCACAGCTGTCTCGAACCAGTTTCTGAGCCTGATGCAAAGGCTTGACCCGTCATATCAATGAGATCTCTTGGGCGGAAGTACATGGACGCATACTCAATAAAACTTGTGGGTGGTAATCCTGTTGATGACTATCCCGACAAAGCTTGGCTTATTAAAACATAATCCCTTCATAACCATGACATTGTTTACTTTGTTAAGCTGATGTTAGTTTATATTAGACGTAGATAATATGAACAATGGTTCCTAACTTTATTATCTTTCTCTCGTCCTTTTTCTTGAAAAATCTCGTTTGTATTAATTTATACATGATGTATTGTTTCAGTGCTGCGGACAGTGCGGACTCACCAATACTGGAGGAGGCCGGCGAGAGCGGCTCGGAACAGAAGCCAAAGCCTCTCATCAAATATGGAGAACTCGTTATACTCGGGTAAGTTGTCGTCTTTTGTCTCGCAACTTAGCTTGGAAGAAAATAACTTGATGTTTTCTTCCCGTAAAAGCTATATGATACTTAATGTATTTTTTCTCATACCCAATCAATTATAAGAAGTAACCCACAACACAATTCTCCCAGTCACTAGGGAGCACCCCATATTGTAAGTGTAAAGTTCCGGAGTAGAAAGTGTCTGTTAATGTCCCTTCCATTTTTATTAAAATTCCTGAGAGAGGCGCTGCGTGTCGAACCCATGTCTCCACGCTTCTTGCAGTGTTTTCTTTATCAAAGAGAACCCGAAATTTTATAAAGACCCAATAATGTTGTAAGATGCTAATCGGATGTTAAAAGGCAACGAACTCTTGTTTGTACAAGTATAGTATTGCGATCCCTTTGAGAGCTCCGTCTAGCCGCTTGATAAGGAATATAAATTGTCGTGTCGCAACATTCAGCTGACTGCACACTGAATAAGGCAACTAATCACTGAAATCAGAATACAATATCAGGAAGAAGTTTGTTTCCAATCTCCTTCCAATTATCTTGCTTTGAATATGGTACGATGCGTTGGAAGTATGGTCCTTGTACAGAGAAGGACCTCTTTGATTTTGTTTACTTGTCCACATACGGTGTTTGGTGCCATAATATTATATGGCTGTCTACCGATTTCTATGTGTTTATTAACGTCTGTTGTTTTTTTGAAGACGTTTTATATTATTATAAGTGTCTGTGTAGTATTATTCATTACTAATTTCAACTAACGTCCTCGTTATACCAACCATATCAGTTTTATTTTTAGTATTTTGTTTCTTTTTTACCATCAAATCTTTAAGGCAACTGATTAAATATTGATTTAGTCGATACGTAACGTCATAATAAGTCATTATACTTCAACTTATCATCCTTTGTCCGGTCATCTACATGTAGAATAAACAAGGTTAGCGTGCGAGTGCAAGATCTGACCGTATACCTAGGATGTGACTATGTAATACCTATACAATAATGGTAGACTGCGACACAGAACAGACACACAATGGAGTACATATTAATAAGTAAGCCATCATGTATTAAATCTTACGTAATAATTATGTTAAACTCGAGGTATTTTGTTGAGCTTACAGTAAGTTGACGTGCAATGTAGTTAGATTGATAATTTTCAGTCATTCAAATACAGACAAAACAAATAAGTGTAATGTTTGAAGTTTTGAACCACAGCAATTTCCTCCAAGTACAGATAAATGGTGTCTCCTTATTATTGTGTCATCCACAACTTGGCGTGCATAAGAATTGAAGCTGGTTACTCCATTTAGATTCCACTCTGTGTGCTGCACTTTGCTCACTCCCGACTCTATATACAATCAGAAATCACAATGCACGTTGAAGCGAGATTTATTCTCGAGCGACCGTTTTTGTACGTAGTGCCGTATTATTGTCGAAAAGAACTCTTATAAAACCTCGCTATATAGGTACTATGTTGAATTTATTTTTATAAAAATGCTACAAAAGAATATCACGACAAAATAACTAGAACAATGTCCTAAAAGTGTGCTAAGTTGAAAATTAATATTTTTTTATTAATTCGCAATCCGGATAATGATAACGATAGCCTATTATCAAAAGAAGTATTTATCTTATATTTATATTTCTTTATTTCTATTTATAAACCTTATATAATACTTTGTTTAATCCAGAAAAACCCATTTCGTCATCTTCGGTTGACCCACGAGACGCCATTGTCAAAAAAAGGAAGGAGGAATCCCCAAATTCGTTTGAAACATTATTTTCCTGAACCATATTGCATGCAAGCAATAAATCTAATCAATATTATAATCCATTAAGCATATAGAACCATGGATATTATTTACGGTAATCTTCTTTTTGACCTCGAAATGATACATACCCCGTTTTGTAAATGTCACTTCGTGTAAAAGCTTGGAACTCCAAACCAGTCACATCTGTATCGTGCTTAATGGCACTAACAATTACAAAGTTGTACTAAATACCTACACGGCTGGCAACATTATATCACTTGCACCAATTTTATTGCCAGCCTACAGATGTTTCCGGTCTCAATTTGATTTGAGTTCCGACTATGTCTGGATTTAATGGTTTGAGGCGTCTGTGTCTGTGATAAGGACTTTGATAAACGTAATTACAATATTGTTTATCTGAATTTCCTTTGTTCGTCTTGCTCTCGTTTGTTTATTTTCTACGCCTACGGCTGCATTTACCGCGTCGAACAAAATTACTCGTGTCGTGTATGAATGTGGTCATTACAGGGTAAAATGTCGCAATTATCTCTTGTTTTCGAACTCAATATCTATTCGTAAACAGAAAATAAAAATTTGTTCTATGGTAATTAGGATTCAAACTATAAAAACAATATGTCTCGTCTTTAATCACAAATACATTTAAGTATCTCCTAATAATACTATTCGAAAGGGCTCGTAAAACGTTTTACGGTTTCTTTTAAAACAAAAAGAGAAAAGCGAAGCATTTCGATTCTATAATAAAACAGAAATAAAGCAAATCAACATCAATTTTACGACACAGCTAAGATTGTCTTGCAAAATGATTTGCCATTTTCCTTTCTTTAAAATTTAAAAGTTCGTGATTTAAGATAAATCGGTACTAATAGCAGAAGAACATAAGTAACATATTTATGATAAAGAAAGTTGGAAAATGAAATCTTTTATGTATGATAAAGGTCTACAATAGCATTGTTCAGTGTAAACTGGATAGAATCACTCTATCTGATAGACATCGAAACAGCTTTAACAAAACGTTGTCGATTTTATACAAAGTCGTTTATTTATTATTCAAGCAACATCTTCATAATATTCAATAACCCAGAAAAGAATCACTTCTGCATACATTTTATCATTACTTCCGTATTGTTTGAAACAAAATGATTTATATTAACATTCCATTGTTCAGTAATTATACGTTCATCTTTATGTATCATAATAATAAAACTGTATTTTCTACTTCTGCTCTCGTTGATATCGCAACTGCGGCTGATTGTTAGTCTTTAAATAGAATCTCCTCAGCTGGAAAAAAATGCCAATCACAAAACTGACTCCTGTCCTTATTACTAACATGTTCAAAGTAACAAAGACCCTTTGTTGCCTTTTATCATATTTGTGACAGGTGAACTAAACAGTAGGTACTGCTAAAGAAAACCTCATTCTTCAAAATTGTCTTTATCTAGTTTTGCGTCTCTTCTCAAGATTTTTATTACGCTATCGGTCGTTGAACGAGAAAATGTTGCACAACTTTAATTACTCTATTGTTAGTGAAGAGGTTTTCATTGTACCTCAGGGCCCTTACCGTATCTGACACTTGAAGCAAAAGGGGTTTTGCTGAGTAGCAAAACATTCAAACTATGATTGACTGACACTCGATCAAGTTAGACCACCCTTACATAGGGTTGTGTACAATACTTGTCAAATATTTCCGTGATATAGAAAAAGACCCCTAGCTCCCTTCCCTGCCATAGCGCACTTTGAGTTTTGGAGACTTCCGACGTCTTCGTATGAATAAATAAATGTTTATCACTGTTACAAAATGTTCATATTTTGAAGAGTTATTCATGCTTCACCTAATTTTGCATATTCTAGATTTAATTCTAAAGGATTCATAGCGAAGATATCTTACCGTTGAATATAGTGTATATGCAGTTAAATGACCATTTATCTATACAAGTTCTGGCTGTAAACCAATCAGACATCTTACTGTATGTGTGGACGGTCTGTCTGATGACATCACTAAGACAAAGTTGTCTTGTTTAATCTTCAGGGACAACGCTTATCATGCATGCCTTGCCTTTTGAAGAATGTTTACAATATCTTACACGTACAGCATTAATGCAGCACTTTCTATTTTATTGCATTTGTCATCATCTGATGAAAGGTCATGTTCATTCTCAACTTCAAGGGGAATATGCTTTGGTGGCTACTTCACCGAAATGTTTGAGATCTAATATTAACACTTAACACCTTTATACATCGAATAGCTGCATAAATTATCGCCATGATCATAACAAACAACGCACTTAGTTTCTGTAATCTACAGCACGCATGTGGATTCTCATAATCACGGTCATGACATGAATTCATAATAATCGTAGTATATCGAGTTCAAGACCAGCTGACCGCAAAACTTGGATTCTCATGTTATGTAGGGGTCATGAACATGGAACATCTCTCTTCAACGTCACGTTTCAACAATTTACCTCCAGTTCGTTACGGCTCGTTTTTTGACCCAAATACACAAACCAGACACAAGGCATGTGTGATTTAAATTTGATGTGAGAGGAAGAGTGGAAATAGCGACGGGGCTCGCATTGCTGAAACGTAACTCCGGTCTTTAATTATGTACGCAAACGAATATGGCGCAGACGCTATTTTCTCGTTTCATCACGAACTTTCTGTGTACTGGGATTGTTAAGTGTTTGGTAATTCGCTTTGCCATACTTACTGCCCACTGCCAAAGTCACTGTTAATTTTCAATGTTAATCATATGCCCCACGCTGCCGTTTAGATTCCGCTCGCGCATTCTGAATTTGAATTAAACCATTACTCATCCAGCAACTTCTCTTGAATATCAGCTATTAAATGCAACAAATTTATCAGATTAATAGGTTAGTATGTCAGTTTTAATGTTCTGTTAATGTACACAAACGTATCTATGAACGGCGCCACTAGTATTTTTTTATTATTGTAGTAAAATGCTGTAACGATTACTGTAGACATCCCATATGGTTTACACTTTAAAGCCGACTGATGTAATTTGGATGCTTTAGTTGTTTCTTTGTATCAGACAAGATGTGATGTGTGGTGCGGAAGTAACTCTGCGAGACGAGCTATGCTGCCAAAATAGCTCGCCGTCTATGCGTTAAAATCATAACAAGCTAAATCGCTTCTTGTTATTTATTACATCATGGGGCTGTGTGGTCGTCCAAAAATACTCTGTAAACTTTCGTAGGTGTCGTTAAGGTCAATTAAATGTTGTAAACACCATATTTCGACCTGGAATTATGGATGCCATAAACAGGCTTCAGGTTTCCTCGAGAAATATTTATCCCAAAATAATCTAGTCATTCTTCATCGCAGTCGCTTCTTTGACAACCGAATATTTCAATTTATATCTTTGTATGCATGTGCATAACCGTTCATTCGTCTACGATTAATATTCCGTCGGCATGTTCCGTAAATAGCAGACAGAAAAACACGTTTTCTAATTCATTTTTCGTCTAACGGATGCTTAATTACTTCGATTATGCCGAAAATATTTCTGAAACACCGACTTCACTTCCAGATTTCAATCAAGTACCTAGTTTATTGATTGAGCTGTGAAAGGTTTTGTTACGAAGTCTTCACTACTAATGGGGATGATGACAGGGTATGAAAATTAAAAATATAATTAGTCCGTAACTTAGGTAATAAAAAAATATTAGACACGTATTTTTTTATTTTGTTGTATAATAAAACAATACTTAGATAAAACGAATCAAAGTTTAGGAGTGGGGGCTAAAACGTCATTTCTTAGTATAAAATGTACTGAGAAGTGACGTCACGCGACATTTCAAATCAATATATCTTCGAAACTATTCGTTTCCGTAAGAAAATAAAAAATACGTGTCTAATGTTTTTAAATAATCTACCAGACGGACATTAAAATAAAAATTAGTCGTCTACCCCATTGTTTGAAGTCTAAGTTTGTTGAAACTTTAGATGTTAGCTTGTTTTGATTTACAGTTAATTGGGCACAAAGGTCGAACGAATTCGCATGGCTTGTGCTAACGTTGCCTTTGTTTTCAGTTATTTTGATACACAGTACTCGATCACGTGCATGGAGCAAAAGTTTTTTCACGATATCGAAAACGTGCGGACTATTCGGTGAATTCGGTCTGGTATTTGAAATGTAATAAAAATATTTAAATTACTTATAGAAATAGTAAAGTACTTATGTTAATAATATTCTCAGTTTGTCAGAAAATGATGGGTTATTTGGGACAACTGATGTATGTATCAAGAGGAAACAGAACAGTCTTTATTTGTTGACATTACGAAGTAAGCAATCTTTAGGAATATCCGTAGAAAACCCAGTTTTTGCGGTCTTATTAATATTCAGTGGCATCAGCCTGGTATAGAGATAAACGTGCTTCATCTCTGTCGTCGTCATGACAAAGTGTTATCTCAACAAACCAAGTATGAGAATAAAGGAATAAAAAAGTTAACGCCAACTTTTGTACCGCATTATCTAGATTCTTCTTGCTGTGATTAAAATCGGTATTTCCAATATGTATGTCTATCATTTTAGTCTGGTTGTCGTACCGTTGATATATCGATCAGACAAGCGTTGTAGGGATTTTAGATATTCATATTCTCAAGTAGTACCCAGTACGTATCGCCTCGCCTATTACGTGGGTCTAACAATATAAAAGGCGAAGAGTGGGTGTACCTATATTTCAGACTACAATTTCGCGAAAAATGGGGTTAAAAATAGGCGTAGAAGAGGGTTTGTTTGCGTACAATGAAAGGTATTCGAAAGTGGCTGACTTCACTAAAATGTAATAACGCGAGCGTGAAATCACTTTCCACGAGAACGATAAAATAGTAAAACACTTATATTTCGTAACGAATTCGGGAAAACCAAATATTTATGAAATCAATGCGGTGCGTTTACTCTTTGACCCGTGACATCCGACTTTAAGATACAATTGGGTTTAATTGGAATCGACCGATCGCTTTCGTCTTCGTTTCGATTGTCTTGACACTGTTCTTAAAATAGTATAAATAATTGATATCACTTTCTTTTCTGTAATAGAACTGTATGTACCCTTTCCAAGGGAAATTACGTCATGGTTGTACTTTCGATTACTATTATGTTCTCTTAATCAAAAAACTTTTGGAAGTATATTTTTAAATATGTCTTATACCGTTATACCATACCAATATGTAATGAAGACATACTTAGGTATTTCTTAAAATCAGTAGTTACACTGATATCATATCCAACAAGTTTTGGTTTTTAAATAATGATAGGTAGGTATTTAAAAACTGAGTGATGTTAAATTATGGGTGCGGTTCTTCCCATAATACCAAATAAAAAATAAATAAAAAAAAACAAAAAAATCATCACGTTGTGTCATCATCACACAGTGTTCAAATCTTCATTTAATCAAATCTGCATTTATTAGGGTTCTTTACTCTTTAGAAAGGGAATCCGGATAATCACTCACAACACTCTTTCAAAAATAATTAGAATTTAGTAAATAAAATTATGTATCCTTAGAACTACTTACGTAATCAATCATTTATATTGTGGAAAAGTTCCAGAAACTCCAATTTGAATCCAAGGTACTTCGATTCGAAGAACATGATTTTGATTTCAGTACCCTCCCTCCCCTACACGATATAGCAAACTCAAGTGAATGAAATGAAGCGAGAGCTTCAATACATCATTCCCCTTGAGGGCTCGTAATATCCCACAGATTCCTTCTAATAAAATTTTCATAACTCGGGTTCATATCAGACAAGGGAAAAGGACGAAAACGATGCATCATAATACGTAATCTGCCAGTCAGCCGTTACTTGCCAAATCAATACTGTTTTATCCTTTGTTCATCTAAAATATGGTACGCACTTATCCCTTTTCAGTAGTCTAGTTTGTAGTAATAGTTTTTCATGTTTGACCAGGTTTAGGCCACTTTCCTTCCAATGTTTCTTTTATAGTAACATAAAGAAATCGTGCAAGATATGTTTTTTGTACCATTTGTACTGACACGCAATTCATTAGTTCTTGCATAAAGCCACTTTGTATTGAACCATGTTTATATTATGAACTCTATTCCGAGCTGGAATTTACAACAAACCTGTCTATAATTAAGATATATTATTCAATATAGTACTGTACGATCGCCCCTAGCTGCAGGTTGCGTAACCACAAGCATGCGAGCGCACTAATTCCATTACAGTGAAACGCTATACCATCCCTATTTTCTTACTGCCTTAAGTAATGCAATCGTTTGCCTACAAGGGGTGCCGAGGACTCATGTGTCCGTCATGATCGATTTATTCATAATAGGATTTTCCTACCATCGACGACGCCCTACCGATGTGGTAACTATTCTATTTTAAACATGTGAACTACCAGCTTTCTACATGTTTCGTGTACGAATAATAGAACACCATGTACACGTGTAAAGATAGTCCAAACCTATTAACCATCGTTTAGGTATTGTGTAACTGTACTGATTTATGATTGGCCAATGCTGTTAAAGAAAACAATAGTGCTTTTACTCAATTTAACCGTTTTATTGCTCGGACATAATTCATTGCTTTCTCTCGGCTTGTTTCTTGTTTTTCTTAGGCATTCATATAATAGCTATGTTTGTACCAATCTATTTTACCTCTCTATTCTATATTTGGTCACTAAGCAACCACAAATCGTAGACTAGAGACCTTTATTAGACTTAATGTGGTTAATTATATTGAATACGACACGATTTTTCCTTCACAACAGTAGCCTCGGGGTGAAACCATAGGTTGGGGAAGTTTTGATTGCCTCTATTTCGAATATCAAGGTTACATTAGGTACTATTGAATTCCGAGATTGCCTTTGATTATTTGGATTGCTTTGAATATTTTACCTACTTGATGAGAAAATTGTTTTCCATGAGAAACCAATTTCATTAATAATGTATAAGTACCTACAGAACAATTTGTATTAGCCACATTCTTTACTTAATGATGTAGTTCAAATCAGTTTACTGGCGGATAAACCCAGTTGATAAGGAGAAATAATTTTATTCAGAAAAAACCAACCAAACGATAATGAATAGAAATAGGTACCTATTTGCTTTACAGATATTTGTCTAAGGTGAAAATAACTCAGTAGACGTGCGGAAACAAGGTTTATCTGATGGGAATCCGCGAGAATAAAGTTTTTAACAAAAACATCTTATGTCAGACAGTGTGTTACGCCAACTTATATAACACTACACAAAGGTTTGCACTTGTTCAGCTTCCCATGCTACGAGCCGTCAACATTGTCTGATTTCTTACACTTTTATAAAAATTCTACATAACACTGTGAACTACTCGACTTGAATTACTGAAGTATGCAGCTTATGTTTCAAGTATACGTAACAAAAATTTTAACGTCATTCCTGTTTTAAGTACGATGTGAACTTGAAACTACGTCAGGCATTTGTTTTATTGGAATTCGTAAATAAACAATCAATTTGTAAATATTTATGTAAACGACGTAATTTAAAACTTACTTCCATTTGTACTATAAAATATATTCACTACCTATCTAAATAAAGTCTTGCATTTATTTGGTTTGTTATCTGTGGGAATAGAAGCCAGAGATACAAAGTACGCGTCGATTGTTCGATTTGTATTCTCACGGAAGTTTAACCTTTCCCATCGACTATTAATGCATATAATTGCTATGGCTATAACTAAGCAATACAAAAAACACTTATTGTTGTAATTGAGACCTAACACTGACCTAAGGAATCATTTACGAATAGAAGGTGGATTAACAAAGTTATTCCATTGAGGCATACACATAGTTTCTCACAGATTAGATTTAAAGGTCATCGCGCCAATGTCATTGCCAAATACATCTGTTGATTCTGAATATCTGATCTTGACGACAAATGGCATTCGGCATTGTCGAAAAATCTCCTAACTTTGGAAGGCTCAAAATAACTACCCGCGATGTAACCCTTACCTTTCATTCTCTAGCTAAAATTAGTTTTGGTTCAAACTTGGAACTTTCCAACGATGAAAATAGCTTACTGTAAATAATTATAATTTTCCTTCAAATCTTAACAAAGTGTTATTATTTCAGTTACAACGGATACCTCCCAGCAGGAGAGCGAGGTCGACGTCGAAGCAAATTCGTGCTGTATCGACGACCGTCTGCGAATGGTGTGAGGCGGTCGAAACACTATGTTGTCAAGACTCCTCACAGCAGCAAGGCGATCCTCGATGCCAGCCAACACTCAATATCCTACACACTCAGCCGCAGCCAAGCGGTTATCGTCGAATACACAGAAGACCCGGACACGGATATGTTCCAGGTATGTAGTAAAGATACATACAATTTAAATTTTTTGACATTTTGGGTTCCATTATAAATCTCTGAGAAAGTCAAATTCTTACGGTCTAATGGCAGTTGCGTGTTTCGTCTCAATTTATTCAGTGACATTCAAGCAGAATATTTAAGGGCCCGCTTAGGTGCGAGAGAATCTTAAATGAGCGTTACTGGGCAGAACCAATTTTTTTTCTAAAATGTCACAGACACTACATTTTAGTTCCGTTTGACCTTTGAGTCTCATTAATACTCTATGGGAGGCCCGAATGATTTCACTGTTTGCTTTGGTTTTAAAAGTAAAAAAAAAACTATACCTGTCACATACTTGAGCCACGTGACTTAAGACATATCAACAGGATTTGCCTTTGTCCGCTTTACAAATGTGGTTTTTCCAAGTCAATCTTGAGGTAAATGGCGTACGCTTACTCAATGGAGTACTAGATACTTAGGTAGTAGGCTGAGAGCTACTACTATTACGCACATTTAATTGATCCGTCGAGTTTAGTACAGGCTATACATGGCCGTAAAGACTTTCTCTCTAGCACCTTGGAGAATGGACACACACCTACATGTTCTCACATGTTCGTTAGACATTGCAACATTAAGGGAGCACTGAAATAGCTTTTGGTTTCGAAATTATATTACAAGATCCCCTCGTGTCAGGTTCTCTTATCGGGCACCAGACGATGTCTGTTTGCACTACAAAACATCAGAACAATGTGGTACACGAGCACAAACAATGAGCCTTGATATGCGATTGCTAAATGGGGACGCGTATTTCATCTACACCGGTATGGATTCGGAAACGCTTTCAAAATTTCGCAATGCGCAAATAGAAGCACGAAACCTTTCTACGAGAAATGCTTTGATTTAAACAAGATTTTACAAAGAAAAAAAATTGGGTTGGTGCCAAAATAAATGCTGCGATCATGTCGTCTCAAATGGAAACGTCAACGGCCTAATGTTGTAACGTCCTGAATAATTAAATTGGGTATCGAAATTGGGCCACTAGGGTCCCACCTTTTTTAATATAAAATTATTTGCAAAGTGTCAAAGTGTTTGTTGTTATAAATCGTGTTGTTTACGGTTCGCGTTGCGCATGAGGCAGTGTGTTTACCCGGCGGCAGCATGTCGTTGCGTCTCGATATCTAATCGGCGCATGTGGGTTAGTGCCCCCCGGGAGAACAATGCGTTGGTCCCTACGAGCGTCATTGATGAACTGAGCCCATGCAGAGCCACAATCACATTATCACACCATGTAGCAAACACTTAGCCTATGATAACGTCCAGTGAAATTGATCAACAACAATAGTTTGTGATAACGTTATTTGCTCACGATTTTGTGATGCGTATATCTTGATAGCTGCCTCCATTGTACATACCTATATTTATTTTCTCGTAACGTTATTTTATTTCCAGTTAAGTAAAAACACGGAGTCAGATACGCAGTTCAATTAAGCGTCGTTTAATAGTTTTGGCCTTTGTTTGCGGATCTTCTTGTTTTTGTTTAGCTGTAACTGTTTGAAAGCGTTCACCTCCACTGTAATATTAACGAGGTTGTTTGTTCCAAACTGTTGTTGTAAAACCTTAATCTGTGGGCAATTGACGCAGCCGCACTTGCTAATTTCTATGGAGCGCTGAAGTTCGTTGCCGCCGCGGTCGACGCACTGTTCCACATCCTGTTCATTTGATTGAGCGCCATTTCTATTGTTGCTACCACTTACACATTGCAAACTTGCCGTAAATTTATATCCGAGCACCAAAATAAATATTTATTTAGTTTGCAGTGGCATACTGCGCTCCGGAAGTGATCAAAACATTAGCATATAGCGCGTCATTGTTTACGCCTAGATACACACTAATGCTAACAGTCGTGAATGATATCCTTCATTCGCGGGAAAAAATCCATCCATATTCAATAAGATCAACACGAGTTTCATAATCTTGTTTCATTACATATTTTTCTGCGCCGTATTTTATCTGGATTATTTCTTTAACAGAATACATCGATCAAAACTTGTTTACGACTGTAAAAAATAAATTGTTAGCATTATCGGCGGTTTTTGCGTCTTACAGAGTCTAGGCTTTTGTTATTATCTGCAAACTACAACGAAGTATGTAAGCATTGACCGATTTGGACAAGGTCTTGGTGTCTGTTTAAATCTTGTAGATACAATCTTTTCAATTGTTTAAACAATTATTAAAACTTTGATGTTTACCATCACATAAAGGCAAGGGCATTCACAGCCAAACCATTTAAAATTATCATCACTTCAATCTCTACCGGGGTTGCTGATTATATTTAATCAGACGTTGGCCATGTTCCATCCATGTCGGTAATATTAGCTATATTTACAGTATTTATATAGTTTGTATGTCTCCAAGTTCGTTGGCCTGATATCTAGGTCTCGTTAGTTTTTGTAAATATGCTAATGCTCCTTCATAATACAGTCGAGGTGAACGGTGCACGACGGCATCTTGCGATGGATTTATTTGCCACACCTCTAGAACAAACGGGTTAATGACCTAATGACACAGAACTAATACTTCATTGTTTTTCATAGTTTGAGGAAAAAATATCCTACTAATTTCCAATGTCTGTATTTAGTTATGTTTCTCTGCGAACCTACGTCTTAAGGAAAACAAAACACTAAAATATGACTTTCACAGACTGATATCATAAAATATTATTACAAATTCAATATTTGAAACTTAAATAATACTATAACCGTAATACTAAAACAAATATAATATGTAAAATAATATTTATTGAGTAATTGTAATATGCAATATCCGCTAAAATGGGTATAAAATGTGAGTCATACCTTCGTAAGTCTAATCCTAACGGAGGAATGAACTTATTAAATGCTTTTTCATACATAAACAACTGCAAAGCAATCCAACTTCAATAAAAAGTGATTGGTTCTTTCCACAAAGTTTTGAGAACACAGCTTGAATGAAATGAATACCGATGAACGAGCCAGTGATGAGTTCCCGACGTTACAAATTCAGCGTGCGATAATAAATTCATAATTTTCATCCTCTTAACGTTGGAAAATGTAATTTATTTTCATTTCATAAAGGGTGAAATATGAAGTAGCTTGTCTTTGATTCAATTTTGGAATTCGTCATCCTAAAAATGTTTGAGCTGCGAATAAATTAAAAATTCCGATCCCGTTAAATGGATTGCCCGTTTCTCGCGGTATTAGGCATAGCGAAAATATTTATACCAAACCCTGTTATACTGCTGATTGACATTGCTGCCGGTAGTCATAAAAATTCAGTGATGCATCATGTTTGGTGGCGCTAACGGGGTGACACGTGACGTCACAGATGACCCGATCCGCATGTCAACGAGGGTGGGGTGTGAGCTGTGACGTCAGACTAGGGGTGGGAGTAAGAGACGGCGTGGTCGGGCCAAGGACGTCGCCGGGCCGACCGGCGCGCAACACCCGCCGCAATCGATATCGTGGCATGACAACCGCGATCTGCAATCAACTGCTGATTCTCATATCTAGATAATTGCGACTGGTACTTAACTGCTCTACCTTCTAGTACCTTTTACTCGCCTCACGACGTCTCGGAAACCCCAAGTCATAACAAGCCCGCATGCGACGTGACACGACAACAGCCGTCCATCAACGAACTTGTTCTGTAGCAAACACAAATATTTTTAATTTTCAAGGTCATACCGGTTGCTTTACAACGAAGTCTTATTTGCATTTTAGTAGTAAATCTGATCTGTGTTGCAATTTCGGTCTCATCCGATTGTAGGGTTTTGTTGGGGATCCATTCGTTGTTTCTATAGTCCTCGATTCTGGTTAAATTATGTTAGTAGATGGAGATTTTATTGCGGTTCCTTCGGAAATCATGTTGTGGTTTGCCCATTTATCTAACGGTGGTTCGCCGTCTCTTTTGTGCACATATTTGCTACGTGTTCACCCCGCCCCGGTTAACTTACTTTCACTTATGTCTTATCTTCGTGTAACCTTCAAGATCACGAAGAGAACTGGTTTTAGTTCTCATGAATTTAATCTAAATTATGTCACGTAACAATTTACACTACTATTACTATTGAAATTGTAAAAGGCAATACCTCTAATGAGTAGGTATATTCTGAGTATAGACTGTCCAGGTATATGCTCTTCCTAATGGCTACTATGACTATATTTACGTTATCGTAAACAAGACTGCGTTATCTCCTTGGATAATCAATAATTCAACAAAACCTTAATCACATTTCAAAATAACCCTCTGCAGAATTCCTCGCCGTTATCATCGAGAGTGCAGCCTTGGCCGCTGTCCAGAAAATATCCCGTTTATACTGGGGAAAGTATTCTTTTCGGATGACTTTTACGGCTACAATAACATAAGTTACAATACCGTGTTGGAAACTCATTGGATTTTCAATAATTTTGTAGTTGCACTGTAAGAATTGCGTTTCAGTTTGCACGTGCAATGAATTTAAGGTGCCTTAAATTATAAGGTAAATTAAATTACGTGGAATTGCAATTTCGCGAAGGGGTTTCGGGTTCATACTTATCATCGTCGGCGGCATGTTTAGTATAGTGAAACTTTTTCCATTATACCTCGAGCCTAATACTGTCCTACTACTCGCAGGGAAACCGCATAACTTACTCTCTTGCAGACTAAAATTGAAGCAATACTTCACACAGTGGAAGTTTGGGGGTTGTTTCGATATTGTTCTAAGAACAAAACTTTCTTATAACAAAGTGCTTTCCAGTCTAAGTTTTCCTTTTATCTTTTAATGAAGTGTTTCTCTCCAGAAAGCTCCAGAAACGTTCACAAAAGACTATTTATACGGTTTTAAAATGGAAACTTTTTAAATTACCGTCAAACATTGTGTAAACAACTCGTGTTGTTTAAATAAACAATGCATGTCTTATATCAAACAGATTTCAGTAATCTGTTTGCTTTGGACGTTAGCGTGAATATAATATGGAATAGTCACGGTATTTACACTTC